CCCACTGAAATTAAAGGACTCTTGCCAAAGGTAGGACTAGGGAATCTAGCTTATTAATATTTTGGAATAAAAAGAAAACCCTTGTGAGTTTTACAAGAAAATCTGGCCTGCAAGTCTAGAAATGGGGTGACCTCTCTATTATTGAAAGTCCTTTTCTAAATCCATGGATTTCAGTAGAAGAGTAAAGCTAATTGCCTTTCCACTGGTAGATTGATTCTGTTCCAGGACAGAAAAATCACCTCCAGCCAGCACAAAGCTATTAAAGTTTCCTGGGTCATGCAAATGGTGAATTCCGATTATTTTCAAAAAAGATTTCCAACTCCTGTTCTGCTATGTGAGTCACTACCATTTTAGCCCCTTCTTTTCAGGTCATTAATTTAATGTCAGTGCCTTTGAGAACTGTTTAGCGCCATCGTGTGTTTTGTGCCTCCTATTCCAAAATTAGTTCCTTGACTTCTTCCCTGTGGGCTGCTGTCCCTGTTGCTATCGCCTAGTGTAAAGGCAGTAGCATACCTTGTTTATCCCTTGGGTCTGCTTAGCTTCTTTGCAAGCTTCTGTGGTGTTACCACAATAAGGAATGGTAGGGTAGGGGACAAAGCCCTGATTCATATGTAAATGTAATGAGAATAACACAGCTGCTATGTATGACACATGCATGGCCCATGCTGAAGACCCACTTTTCACCTCTGGCCTGGGTCTTTCACCTCATTCTGCAGTTTTAAACCTTATGCCATAGCATGAACTTAAGGCTGATACCACAGTGTCCATGGCCAGCCTCACATCCCTGGTGCTTTCTCTTCCCTGATGGAAGAAAGCTATCCCAACAAAAGACTTGGGCACCAGAAGCATTTGCTGGAGGAGCAACAGAGCATTTTGGAAGCTCTATCTTTCAGACTTACTACGCTAAAACTCAAGTCCAAGAGCTGTCGTGTGTTGCCTCTGTTTATGGCAGCCCTGTAGCTAGCTGAGTCTTCCTAATGATTGGCAAATTATTCTTAAACTGGTTTCATGTGAGAGGCAGTTATTAGATACTTTCTAAATTATTTTAAAAAGATAAAGAACCTAAATAGTCCTGAAAGTGGTGAGTGGGAGCTGTCAAGGAAACAACTTGCTAATGGAAACACAGCATAATTAACTGCCTTATTTAAATGACTTGCCAGTAAGTTATTGGGAAGAGCTGATAAATAAGGGACTGCAGCAGCAGAGTCTTTGCAACTGTAACTGAGTGATCCAACCTTTTTCAAAGTGACCTTATTACAGAGAAATTAGCTTTGGGACAGAAACAAGAATAGTGGTCATTTGAAGGAACGTAAGGTCAGATTCACTACAGAGTTTATTAAACTGTTTTGTCTTTTTGTGTTTTTTTGGCCAGCAGTGACATGCTTGCAGTATATTCCCTGACTCCTGGATAAGCTGAGCGAGCCCTGGAGAGGCAGCCCTAGAACCAGGCTGGTTGGTGTGGCTAAAAACGCAAATGCCAAATCCTTTCCTGTCATTTCTTGTCTCAAGAGCATGCAGCCATGTCACAATCATCCTGGTTCTCCATGTGGCCACACCATGGTGATCATTGGAATAACAATGGATGAGTATGAATCAGAAACATCTAATAGCCCTTATAAGTTCGCCTTTAGGGCTTGGTTTCCTAAGCTGGAAGCTGAAATGAGCCTGCCGTGCTAGACGTAGCACTCT